TGGCTAGAGCAAACCAAGATGGCTGCCGTAAAGTCATTCTCAAATCATAGACGGCAGTTTCGTATTCGAGGGGAAGTTTCGTATCCACACATTAACAACCATACAGTCCAGTGGATGTCCAGAACACACAACTATATAAGGCTACCAAGCAGCCCAGCTGATGTCCGGAACATACAACTATACAAGGCTACCATACAGACCAGCAAATGTCCAGAACACACAACTATACAAGGCCACCAAACAACCCAGCTGATGTCCAGAACAAACAACTATACAAGGCTACCATTCAGCCCAGCTGATGTCCGGAACAAACAACTATACAAGACTAACTCACAGCCAATCTGATGTGCAGAACACACTATACAAGACTACCATACAGCCCAGCTGATGTGCAGAACACACAACTATACAAGGCTACCATACAGCCCAGTTGATGTGCAGAACACACTATACAAGGCTACCAAACAGCCCAACTTATGTGCAGAACACACAACTATACAAGGATACCATACAGCCCAGCTGATGTCCAGAACAAACAACTATACAAGGCTACCATACAGCCCAGCAGATGTGCAGAACACACTATACAAGGCTACCATACAGCCCAACTTATGTGCAGAACATACAACTATACAAGGCTACCATACAGCCCAGTTGATGTGCAGAACACACAACCATACAAGTAGTCAGATAAGGTCAATAGGCTTTTCATGGGCATATCAACTCATGTTTGGTATCTCTTGTACTCTCAACATGGTGTCACAACAAGGCTACCATACAGTCCAGTGGATGTCCAGAATATACAACTATACAAGGCTACCATTCAGCCTAACTGATGTCAAGAACACACAACTATACAAGGCTACCATACAGCCTAGTGGATGTCCAGAATATACAACTATACAAGGCTACCATACAGCCTAACTGATGTCCAGAACATACAACTATACAAGGCTACCATACAGTCCAGTGAATGTCCAGAATATACAACTATACAAGGCTACCATACAGCCTAACTGATGTCTAGAACACACAACTATACAAGGCTACCATACAGTCCAGTGGATGTCCAGAATATACAACTATACAAGGCTACCATTCAGCCTAACTGATGTCCAGAACAAACAACTATACAAGGCTACCATACAGTCCAGTGGATGTCCAGAACATACAACTATACAAGGCTACCATTCAGCCTAACTTATGTGCAGAACATACAACTATACAAGGCTACCATACAGCCCAGCTGATGTGCAGAACACACAACCATACAAGTAGTCAGATAAGGTCAATAGGCTTTTCATGGGCATATCAACTCATGTTTGGTATCTCTTGTACTCTCAACATGGTGTCACAACAAGGCTACCATACAGTCCAGTGGATGTCCAGAATATACAACTATACAAGGCTACCATTCAGCCTAACTGATGTCCAGAACATACAACTATACAAGGCTACCATTCAGCCTAACTGATGTCCAGAACACACAACTATACAAGGCTACCATACAGCCTAGTGGATGTCCAGAATATACAACTATACAAGGCTACCATACAGCCTAACTGATGTCTAGAACACACAACTATACAAGGCTACCATACAGTCCAGTGGATGTCCAGAATATACAACTATACAAGGCTACCATTCAGCCTAACTGATGTCCAGAACAAACAACTATACAAGGCTACCATACAGTCCAGTGGATGTCCAGAACATACAACTATACAAGGCTACCATTCAGCCTAACTGATGTCCAGAACATACAACTACACAAGGCTACCATACAGACCAGTGGATGTCCAGAACATACAACTATACAAGGCTACCATTCAGCCTAACTGACGTCCAGAACATACAACGATACAAGGCTACCATTCAGCCTAACTGATGTCCAGAACAAACTATACAAGGCTACCATACAGCCCTGAGGATGTCCAGAACAAACAACTATACAAGGCTACCATACAGTCCAGTGGATGTCTAGAACACACAACTATACAAGGCTACCATACAGCCCAGTGGATGTCCAGAACACACAACTATACAAGGCTACCATACAGCCCTGAGGATGTCCAGAACACACAACTATACAAGGCTACCATACAGCCCTGAGGATGTCCAGAACAAACAACTATACAAGGCTACCATACAGTCCAGTGGATGTCCAGAATATACAACTATACAAGGCTACCATTCAGCCTAACTGATGTCCAGAACATACAACTATACAAGGCTACCATTCAGCCTAACTGATGTCAAGAACAAACAACTATACAAGGCTACCATAAAGTCTAGTGGATGTCCAGAATATACAACTATACAAGGCTACCATACAGCCTAACTGATGTCCAGAACATACAACTATACAAGGCTACCATACAGCCTAACTGATGTCTAGAACATACAACTATACAAGGCTACCATACAGTCCAGTGGATGTCCAGAATATACAACTATACAAGGCTACCATTCAGCCTAACTGATGTCCAGAACATACAACTATACAAGGCTACCATTCAGCCTAACTGATGTCCAGAACACACATCTATACAAGGCTACCATACAGTCCAGTGGATGTCCAGAACAAACAACTATACAAGGCTACCATACAGCCTAACTGATGTCCAGAACAAACAACTATACAAGGCTACCATACAGCCTAACTGATGTCCAGAACAAACAACTATACAAGGCTACCATAAAGTCCAGTGGATGACTAGAACACACAACTATACAAGGCTACCATACAGTCCAGTGGATGTCCAGAACAAACAACTATACAAAGCTACCATACAGCCTAACTGATGTCTAGAACAAAACAACTATACTACGCTACCATAAAGTCCAGTGGATGTCTAGAACACACAACTATACAAGGCTACCATACAGTCCAGTGGATGTCCAGAACAAACAACTATACAAGGCTACCATACAGCCTAACTGATGTCCAAAACACACAACTATACAAGGCTACCATACAGTCTAGTGGATGTCCAGAATATACAACTATACAAGGCTACCATACAGTCCAGTGGATGTCCAGAACATACAACTACACAAGGCTAGCATACTGACCAGTGGATGTCCAGAACATACAACTATACAAGGCTACCATTCAGCCTAACTGACGTCCAGAACATACAACTATACAAGGCTACCATACAGCCCTGAGGATGTCCAGAACAAACAACTATACAAGGCTACCATACAGTCCAGTGGATGTCTAGAACACACAACTATACAAGGCTACCATACAGCCCAGTGGATGTCCAGAACACACAACTATACAAGGCTACCATACAGCCCTGAGGATGTCCAGAACAAACAACTATACAAGGCTACCATACAGATCAGTGGATGTCCAGAATATACAACTAAACAAGGCTACCATACAGTCCAGTGGATGTCCAGAATATACAACTATACAAGGCTACCATTCAGCCTAACTGATGTCCAGAACAAACAACTATACAAGGCTACTATAAAGTCCAGTGGATGTCTAGAACACACAACTATACAAGGCTACCATACAGTCTAGTGGATGTCCAGAATATACAACTATACAAGGCTACCATACAGCCTAACTGATGTCCAGAACATACAACTATACAAGGCTACCATACAGTTCAGTGAATGTCCAGAATATACAACTATACAAGGCTACCATTCAGCCTAACTGATGTCCAGAACATACAACTATACAAGGCTACCATTCAGCCTAACTGATGTCCAGAACAAACAACTATACAAGGGTACCATACAGTCCAGTGGATGTCCAGAACATACAACTATACAAGGCTACCATTCAGCCTAACTGATGTCCAGAACATACAACTACACAAGGCTACCATACAGACCAGTGGATGTCCAGAACATACAACTATACAAGGCTACCATTCAGCCTAACTGATGTCCAGAACAAACAACTATACAAGGCTACCATACAGTCCAGTGGATGTCCAGAACACACAACTATACAAGGCTACCAAGCAGCCCAGCTGATGTCCGGAACATACAACTATACAAGGCTACCATACAGACCAGCAAATGTCCAGAACACACAACTATACAAGGCCACCAAACAACCCAGCTGATGTCCAGAACAAACAATTATACAAGGCTACCATTCAGCCCAGCTGATGTCTGGAACAAACAACTATACAAGACTAACTCACAGCCAATCTGATGTGCAGAACACACTATACAAGACTACCATACAGCCCAGCTGATGTGCAGAACACTCAACTATACAAGGCTACCATACAGCCCAGTTGATGTGCAGAACACACTATACAAGGCTACCAAACAGCCCAACTTATGTGCAGAACACACAACTATACAAGGCTACCATACAGCCCAGCTGATGTCCAGAACAAACAACTATACAAGGCTACCATACAGCCCAGCAGATGTGCAGAACACACTATACAAGGCTACCATACAGCCCAACTTATGTGCAGAACATACAACTATACAAGGCTACCATACAGCCCAGCTGATGTGCAGAACACACAACCATACAAGTAGTCAGATAAGGTCAATAGGCTTTTCATGGGCATATCAACTCATGTTTGATATCTCTTGTACTCTCAACATGGTGTCACAACAAGGCTACCATACAGTCCAGTGGATGTCCAGAATATACAACTATACAAGGCTACCATTCAGCCTAACTGATGTCCAGAACATACAACTATACAAGGCTACCATTCAGCCTAACTGATGTCCAGAACACACAACTATACAAGGCTACCATACAGTCTAGTGGATGTCCAGAATATACAACTATACAAGGCTACCATACAGCCCAGCTGATGTGCAGAACACACAACCATACAAGTAGTCAGATAAGGTCAATAGGCTTTTCATGGGCATATCAACTCATGTTTGGTATCTCTTGTACTCTCAACATGGTGTCACAACACTTTGTAAACTTACTTGACTCTGACTGACCACTCTTAATATTTTCACGCTGAATTACAATATTCGCCAATACATACCTCAGTTTTCAATGAAAGGCCACTGTTGAAGAATATTATGGACACTCCAATGTACTTCACAGTTACCTCTGGTTTCAAGAATCCTGGTAAAAGAAAAAACTTTGTAAATAAAAAATAAAAGGCTGAAAATGTACAGTTTTATATGCTGCTAAATTCTTTCAGTAAACGATAAATTTTGCTTAATTCTACAGTCAATGACATTCCTGCTATGTCACAGCAACCTGTAAAAAATCTGTGTCAACAATGCAAAACCAGTAACAGAAAGCATCGAGAAGCAAAAGCAGTAATTGTTGTTCGCTTCAAGGGAATCTGAAAACATGAATACGAGATACACAATATATCACTTTGTTTGTATAAATCATTTAAAATTCCCTCCAAATATGTTTTTTTTCCATTATCATTTCAAAGACATCAATTATCTTTTTGTTATCGTGAATCACATTTTGTCCATTTCAAAAAAGGCACAGACATAATACCTAAATATATTCATAACAAAGTATTTTCATGAAACATTAACAGATTAGTTTGTATTATCACTGAATGGTCATATCAAGTGTTCTATTCCTTGTCGGTCATATGGCCACTGACTTGACAATTTTCTATCCTGAAAAAAAATAGAAAATTTAAACTTTGATTTTACTGCAAATGGTTTGAGTATAATCAAAATGATAAATGTGTTCTTTATAGGAAAACCTGTGTGAAGTGTTATAATAAACAAGGAGACAGCACCAGCATGAGCAGATTGATTATCAGTTCCCAGCTCAACTTGGGTATAATATTGATCAGTTTGCAAGATCAGAAGTTGATTCCATACATTGCATCATTTTTCGCATATAGGTTTTCCAGTAATATATATAGTTTATATAATCCATGTCACCAGCTTCAATTGGATGGCAGTATAAAGTACTTGTTTGGTTAATAGTTCAATAGATATAAAGTTAAGAAAGTTACCCTTCTTTGTTAATGATTTTTTAAATCTACATTGATTTATCATGGTAATATGGACTTATTTCATCTTATATGTAAAAAGGTGTTTGCATTGTATCCAAAAACAGTCGCTTCCCCATCCAAACGTTTTCCTGTATGCCCCCAAACTTTCCCATCAGAAACATATATCACCAGCTTCACAATTGACCTCATGCATGCCAAATGCAAAACACCTTTGAAACAACCCTTATTTTCAGACAACTGAACTGAATATTTTACGACGATCACTACGTCCTTGTCCTCCAAGGTTCAGGTATCCACCCATTTGTTACACACACTATTTGACCCACACACAGAAACAGCTTTGGACAGTGTTGACTGCATGGCTAATCACCTTCCTCTTATTGGACTGTCAGAAGCAGAAAAACACAACACCAGAAAACAACAGATAGTTTGGAGCATCTCTATATGTGTACTAACTCATCACTATTCAGCTCTATATTACATTATCTTAAACATTAATACAAAGAGACAAACAACATTATTATTCTCTCCCTCAACCTAACTTCAGTGTATGACTTATGGCATCCAGGTATTTCTCTGGTGTTTGTGTTCCTTGTTGGAGCTGTCCTTTTAGGTGTCTGATATTATTTTTCTGTTCTCTGTAGTCACACTTTTGGCAAGGTGGTCTTAATCAGGCCATAGTGAATAAGCCAAATGACAAGTCAGCTCTTATTTACTTAGCTATGAGATCCAGGACAGTTATTCAAAGAGTTTATGGTGTATTATTTATATCAACTCTTTAAATAACCAGTGATAACAAACCTCCGATGAGTGTGTTTATTCAGATGATGGTGTCTATTTTTGAAAAATGCAATCTAATATTTATATTTATGTCTACATGCACTTTATTCAAATTCATGTCTTACCCTTTATTGTTCACACAAAATCAATCTAAATACACACTCAATACCTCTAAAGTTTATTTACCATACTACATCACTAGTCCAGGAGTTGTGTGTAATTTGTCTTGGGAATGACAATATCAATCTGTGGGCACATGTTAGAACAAGGCATCATTAATTTATGCGACTTTGGCAGCTGACCAGCCTAAATTTCAACCTTGATAAATTGATGGAACCAGGGAGCAAGCAGGTTTTGTTTGTCGCAACATGTTTTCATGTCAACATGCACCTGGTGCAAGTTATAATCTGGTACCTTAAAATTAGCCCTGCAGGCTGTGCAGCCCCCTTTTTACAGACAAATTATATCTCAGCTGCACACTCGGCCAAGTCACTTCATGACTTGGGTATTGTGAACAATCCCCCTTTTTCCAAATCCTGGGTTCATCTCTGCAATCTGATCAGTGGTTCCCAGTGGCATGTCTCTTGTCTGGGGGAATTAGTCAATCGAAGATTGGGTTATAAATCCAGGTCTCGTGTTGTGAATGTACAGGTTTTATTGTGTTGCCATAGCTGTAGACTTAAGGGACTTGTTAATTTTTGTGGATATTAACAGATATACATTCCTCTTGAGGTAGTGATCATATGTCTTTCTTATGTACAGTCCTACGCCACCAGAAAATCTACCAAATATACTGATACGTTATGCTGGGACAGGGAAACAGACATAATCATTAAACAGATAACTGATTTTATCAACATCATACACCATTGTTTCAATTAGGCAAAATATGTCGAACCCTTCAAGAAAACATATAAAACTATTATCATTCATTTTTTATAACAGTCCTTTAATGTTCCATGATCATTTATGTAGGCATATTTGATAGATCTATGTGGCAACCTTCAAATCGAAACTGTGTCCATTGGTCTGCTGCTCACCCCTAGTGTTGGTTCTCAAGTACTGCATGAAACGAGTGGACTCCCTGGGCAGCTCTATCCATGCCAACACTACGGCTAGGGTAAAGAACTCTCCTGGTACCAGCTGGTTTCAGTGAACTAACATCATCTGACAGACAATATATTTGATCAGATGTAACCAATATTTAAATTGTTAAGTGTGCCCTTTTTGCCATCATTTCGTGCTTAAACCATGAGCGGTATCAGCTCTGATCAACCATTTTTAACCCTCTCAGTGAGATCATTTACAACAACGATTATCATCTCGGAGTTTGATTTTGACTGCATCCAAAACACAACTTTTACCTTTGAAAAAGGTAAACTTAAGGATGACTGGTTTCACTTTTGATTCAATATTCAAGTCATGTGCTTGCTCAAATGAATACTTATGTACGTCTTTAATCCCAAGATTCTCACTCATGAAGTCACAGGCTAACTTCTTTGTTCGTCCCACGACTCTCCTGACACACCCTCCAAACGGTGGATTATGATGTAGTTTCTTCTGCGCTAAGCTTCGTATCTCAGAAACTGTACTCCAAGCCTCTCAAAGTTGATCTGAAGTTCCTTATTTTCTTCTGTCAAATGAATTTGTTCTTCCATAAACTCTTCCCTAAAACTCTCAAACTTTGACTTCAAAGACTGCATCTCCTTCTGAACATAGAAACAATGTCTCCTGGCTCGTCATTATAACTTTCCCCACTTATATATATGATAAGGGAGTTTCGTTTGCTTTTCAGTTGATCCCTTCTGACTAGGAACTCTTGAGGCAGGATTCAGGGCAATGTCACAACACAGTTGTTAAAGTCTTGGTACATATGGTTTACTGATAGTTCACTGCACATGTTCTTAATTGATTTCATTTGTCATACATCCACTGTAGAATGATATCTTCCTGAACATCGCCATGTTGAGACATCAGACAGTTTAGGAAAATATGATAGATCAGAATAGGCAACAGTTGTATTAGTCTAGAAATAAACCCGCCATTCAAAATCAACGAATCAATACACATTTAAAACGATCTGGTCATGCACACACTGAAGTTGACTTTAGTTTTATCTGTATTCAAACATAACATATGTCAGAAGGAATGGGTGCATAGTCAAAAAGAAATGCGAACATTAGTGACTTGTAGTGTAACCATATAGTTCTAGATCCCATTTGTCATTAAACAAAATATCACATGACTAACCACAGGTCCGGGTAGTCAAAGTACACGAATTACCTGTCCCAGCCCTACACTACATCGTTTTATTATTTACAGGACCCTTATGTTTCCTGTAGAGGACCTAGAAATTAATAATTGGGGGTCCCCTGGACCCGCAGTTTTGTAATCTATTCTGGATCAGACAATCCAGTGACTGATATTGTGAGCAATGATCCATGCCATAGGGGTACGATGACATAAAATCAGCCAAGTCATCAAGCCCAACTACCCAATCCATTAAGTTGCCTCTTACAACAAACATAGGTTGCCTGGGTACAATTCTAACCTGGAATCCCAGGGAGAGGAAAAAGGAAAAGGATTCAAGAGATTTGAACTTTGTTGTAATCATCTTTTGTTCGGAAATTGTTTATAAACTGTCAGACGACTGATCTTGATTTAACATATAGATTTCACAACAAGTGTTCTATTGTGTTTTCAGAGAGGTTGCCAGTTGCCGGAGAGTCTTACTGTTAATGTTCATAATATGATTAGGAAATTATTTTGATAATACCTTACAATCTTTAAATAATTCGTCATCACTAAAAAAATAAATACAGAAGAAAAAGAACATATCAGTCCAAAAATATTGACCATATTTTTCATGTGTTGAAGAATCATCAATGTCATATGATGTATCTGCTAGTGTTTCAAAGTTCAACAGCAGGAATTATTTTAAGAACAGTTAATGAGATTTGAAATGATATTGATTTTTTATGAGGTGTATTTTGTTTAACTCCGCACTCAGCAATCAACAATCAGGTGGTCCATACATAATCAAGTCTGGACCAAACAATCCAGTGATTGACATAATGAGCAACTGAGATATGACATGTACATCAACCAGGTCAACGAGTCTGACATAATGGCCCCATACAGGGATGTTATATCAGTTCACCTACATGATGTCCTGGGGATTTTATTTAAGCAGGATGTGGAAGTTTATGTTTTGGTACTTATAACCACCTGTTTACATTGATATGTTAAGTGTAGAAGTGTTTTGGCCTACCTCCTTTTGCACCAATATTTGGGCTAACTTTCGCCAAAATTATCACCAGTACAATGCCTATGAGAAACCAGTTCTGAATAGCAGATCTTAACAGTGACATTATTCACACACATCCGGTTTGATGTTTTTAACACTGTTCATACTGATAAGAGAGATATGTAATATCTTCTATAACACATGGGGCGAACACAGACTGACCGACCCGGAACCGGAAGTACATATAACTATGTAGGAAGTTAGACTATTCGCCAAGCAAAACATAGTCCTGAAGTAATACTTTAATAGATGCATATTGGATGAAATTATGCTATCTTACATTGACCATTCCTAGAATGACAATTGTACATGCAAACCAAGATGCCGTATTTTGCAGATTACCACCACATTACGAAAACGTGTACTATTTTTCATGAGCAAGTGTCTTTGTTTACATTAAATGGCGGCTACGATGAATGCAAGACGGGACAAGCACTCTACAATTTCATTCACACTGCCCATTTCATGTCAGATATGTCTCGGGAAGGTATTTACATTTACTATGTTTGAAATGTCATGTTAACAGAACCGATTCACAAGATTGTTATTCCAAGGCGGCCTGCACAGTGGAATAAATACTGGTTATAATGTCTTTAGGCCCAGGTGTTCCAAGTTTTCTAACCCACTTTATTTCAACTTCAGCTCGAGGTTAGACATAGACGAGGTTCTCGCTAGGATAGAAGCGAGAACCTTATCTTGGTTAGGTAATAGCAAGTGCAAAGCGACCTGGTATGGTTGGTAAAATGTTGGCCGAATGTAAATTGCCTTCATGATTTTTCTACTGATTATTTTATCAAGACGGTGGTATTTTCATTGGAAAGGAATGTGTTTATAGAATGTGTTCGCCATCCTATAGTATAATTAAAACTGCAGGATTTGTTCACTTTACTGGGCGCACTTTTTCAGATCCAATTAGCGCTGAGGTGGCTCGAACGCGCTTCACCGGCTCTGCTAATGATGTGTTAATTAGCCGATGCTCTACCACTGGACCACGGGCGCTATCATATGTAATCAGTGCTCATTTAACGGCTCATTAGAATCCCCATCAACATGCATGCGTAATTCAGTAAAAAATGAATTGCGCATGCGTGTGACGTCACGGTCCGCTCTCCCATTCGTCTTTTCTTGAAACCACACCCGCCATTGTTTATGTCAACATGACCGACCAATGGGATTAACCGGATTAATGCTTGAAAAAGTAAGACTTTATGGTTAACCCTTGCCCAAAGCAAGCTAACCCTAAGGACCGAAAAGGGGTGTTGGATCGTAAAGACGTGTACGTTTCCCTAAGACCGAAAACGGGTGTTGGATTGTAAAGACTTGTAAGTTTCCCTAAAACCGAGAACGGCTGTTGGATCGTAAAGATGTGTAAGTTTCCCTAAGACCGAGAACGGGTGTTGGATCGTAAAGAAGTGTAAGTTTCCCTTAGACCGAAAACGGGCGTTGGATCATGAAGCGAGAGTCACCAGAGCGTGAGGCACGGTAACGGTATAACGAGACAGCGGTGGCACTATAGTGCGGTAATTGAGCGGACGGTAGAGCTCGGCTGCGCCCGGTAAACTGCATTGATGCCAAAACTGCTTATATCTAGATATTGGATATTATTTAGTATTACTTTACATTTCTCCATTGCCTCTATGATCCTATAGAGTAGTTGTGTTAGAGAAAACGTAGCTACGGGTCTGAGTCAAGACATAGCCGTTGCTAATAATTTGTTTACAGTTATGTGGCAGGATATATATTGCAAATCTATATATACGATGATTGTTGGTGCGGTTGGGTATCCTCGTGGTTAAAGTGTTCACATGTCACGCCAAGGACCGGGTTCGATTCCCAACATGGGTACAATGTGTGAAGACCTTTTCTGGTGTTCCCCCAGGCCGTGATATTGCTGGAATATTGCTAAAAGCGGTATCAAACCATATTCATTCCGCTACTCACTCTGTGATAATTGATAGTGGCAGCTAATCGAAGTGTTCGTAAAATGTCAAGTGCTTATGCGACAACCACCCATTAGAGTTACCTCCACTTTCAGGACAAACTTCCACATTTGAGATGCTTCACAAGGTAACAGTTTGATATATCCAAGAAGGCTGGCTGTACTTATATCAGGGATGTGAAATTTCTGAGGAATCGCAGAAAATCACGTTTTTTAAAACAGTAGTCCTCGGGGGAAAATCATCTGCCGTGTAAAATATAATCAAAGATTTTAAAAAAAATACTCCTAAAATATTATTGTAATTCCGGACAACCGTCACGGATTGTCCTGTTTTTGACCAGAGCTTTCAGCATCATATATCCCTTTATTGTTATTCATGACACAATACTATTATTGTCGGATCATAGGTTTTCGGACATCATATGTTTTCTATCACGAATACTTGCACTTTAACGTTGGGTGTGGCATCACACAGATATTGTCACTACTCAGATAATGGCTTGTTTTTAAGATAAAGTTGTCTTTTAGCTCACACGTGATGTTTTACACTACAGTTGTTCATGGGATTAGAGACCCATAACACAGGGATATATGTTGTATTAAAGAGGCACTGATCTAACGCAATTCCCTGGGACTGGTTGTTGCCTTTGTTATTGTTTTTTCCCCGTGAGTACCCGGATGATATAGCAGAATTCTAGACTAGTCCGCGACCTGTGCTGCGCAATTCGTACGCGCATTTGTTACTTTTATTGATGGTATAAGGGCATATGGTCACATTGATCAACAAAATGAAATACAGTTTTGGAAATAAAAAGGAAATGTAGATATCTTTGTGGGTAGCACTGGTAATGGTGACAAAGTTTTCATAAGTCACATACTTGGTAATTGTGCGATTTTCCATTTCACTATTTTGACTTGCAACACAAAGTAAATATTTCACCTGAGCATTGCTTATTTTATAATGTTTATATTTTTAGTCAAAATGTGCAAAATTTTCACTTAGGAAATTTGTTAGCGCCAAACCCGACATGGGTACAATGTGTGAAGCCCATTTCTGGTGTCCCCAGCCGCGATATTGCTGGAATATTGCTAAAAGCGGCATAAAACCATACTCACTCACTCACTGTTAACGCCAAAATATTCAGTTATTTTACAAATTGACTGAAAAATATGTCCATCTGTATTATTATGATATCGAATTCCAAACATTTTTTGTTCAATATCATCACCAAGTGCCTGAAAATGTTAGAATGAAATATTTAGACATTTTATAAATTGCCTGAGTTAATCACATTTTACACATTGACTGTAACATATACACACTTACAAAGGAAAAAACTTGTGAAAACAACGTCTATCGCACACCAAAGAACTTCCAACAAAGACGTAGAGGAACAAGAATGATTCTGTTCAATGCTACAGCAAATGTATGAAAACAAAATGCAAATATCATAATTACAACATACCAAAGTTATATGTATAATTTTAGGCAGCATCCTTGGTCGAGGAATGTATCCGTGAATAGCCGCATAAAGTAACAATATCCCAAACGTCTGCAGCTGTACAAAGAAACTTATTCTATGTAACAATCAAATATTTTAGAATATGTATATCGTTTCGGGGTGTTCTCAACTGATCACTTAGTTTGTTTCAGTTGTTTCACATAGGTGTCAAATCTCAAAGGTAAGCTGAGAAAGTCCACGTAACAACAATTTTCATAATGTCCATGGTTCTTTTAAAAAGTCCATTGAGTTAGATAGCAATGAGCAGTCAATCAACGTATTATCGGTTAACCCTTTGAACAATGTATGTTGTTTCTACATCGTTACTTAACGCCATGATATGAGTGTGTTCCCTTTGCTTTAGTAAACCTAGACATGTAAACGCTTACTTTTGACATATCCACTGTGCAAGATAACAGTGATGAATCAATCAATGTATTTTCTATTGATCCTTTGATGGCTAGGAATGATCCGTTGATTTACATTCATTCATCTCTTGCTGATCATGTGCATATTACATAACAGACATTTCACCTCACTTCAAACCTGGATTTAGATTGAATAATTACCCCAGACACAAGAAATGCCAAGTGGGAACCTTTATCAGGTAATCTGAGTGGTTCTAACACTAATTATTATACCTGTAATAAATCATTAACTGAGCATCAAGTGAATAACGATAAATACACAAGTGTAGGGTTATACTAGTAAAACATGGATGACAGTTTTTAACAAGGAAGTAGTAATTGTATTATCCACGCAATCCGAAATCCGAAAATGCTTTCACTGCAGGGATACTTGTTTGCCTTCTTCCAGCAGTGTTTCCTGCTGCCACATGCTAGTATTTGACCCTTTTATTGCCTTTAATCATGTTTGTGATTGTAAACCTGATCTTTTAATGTAAGTTGTTAGTTATTCAATGATCTTTTGTGGTTATTTACTGATTTCACATTTTAGTTCTGCACAAACTGATTTCTGGGTTAAACTTCGCTTTTCAACTTGGGAACTAACTCAAAACAATTACTATATATATTGACTGCAGCAAGCACCAGTTCATGAATTCAACTAAATTCATGGAGCTAAAGGGATTATAAATGGGAATATACATGTTTTATTTTTTGGATTCAGTAATTTTCATTATAATGGACAAAAATGCAGTGTATCGCATGTTTTTACTTTGATGCTGCACACATCCAAATGTTGCTCATCTGAACATTATCTACCATGGGACATCTCTTACAATGAATCAATTAGGTTTTTAATGATAAAGATTAACTCATGTATTTTACAGCATACCAGGCAAAAAATGCAAACAAATGCACATATCACTATGTATAGGATAAAACACGTCCCAGGGTTGTTATATTTAAAACCCGCATCCCAAGGGATTTTCCGAGGAAAAGGGTTTTAAATATCACAACAACCCAAGGGGAAGTGTTTTATCTTACTTATAAACCGAAAAAAGGAACTTTAAACAACATTTATCAACATTTTTATGTTTCTAACATACTTTCCATGAACATTAGGAAACGGGTGTAAAATATCTGTTGCTGGCATACGGATCTTGAAAAGGACATTCTAAAAAGCAGTGCAACTTATCAACGCCTCTCATACCTAGTGCTACACTCACTGGGCTACAGATACGAAGGTTGCGTGTTCGATCCTCGGGAATATAAAGAAAGTATTTGTCATTTGATTTTACATTTCATTACATGTTACAATCTGAACGGAAGTTATATTAATAAAATACCCAGGACATTATATAAAATCCCTGGGATATTATAACACATTATATAGCAAATATGACTCGAATATCCTATAAAATCCTGGGGATATTATATAAAATCCCAGGGACATTACAACGTCCCTGTTTATGAGATTTAACCCGACTGGAAAACAATAGGATGACGTCACCGGAGGTTTATAATATCAGGGTATTCTTTTTCATTTTATTTTCAATTTCCCAGTTGTCTTTATTCTTCGCTTAAAAACATGAGCCAGCTGGATGAAGTGGTTTGGTGTCTAATCAATGTAATATTTTGGTTGGAGAAAACTGTCAAGGAATGTCTGCTTTCACTTGCTATGTTTGGACAGATGTGATTCAAAGGCCAACTCACCATCATGGCATCAGTAGCCATGCTTATCGCAGTTATGCCTGTGCCTTCCTTGTTCCTCACTAACTACCGCGATATGCTTACAATATTCCTCCCACTTATCTATCACATGCTTACAATATTCCCTCCCACTTATCTGTCACATGCTTACAATATTCCCTCCCACTTATCTGTCACATGCTAACAATATTCCCTCCCACTTATCTGTCACATGCTTACAATATTCCCTCCCACTTATCTGTCACATGCTTACAATATTCCCTCCCACAAATCTGTCACATGCTTACAATATTCCCTCCCACTTATCTGTCACATGCTTACAATATTCCCTCCCACTTATCTGTCACATGCTTATAATATTCCCTCCCACTTATCTGTCACATGCTTACAATATTCCCTCCCACTTTTCTGTCACATGCTCACAATATTCCCTCCCACTTATCTGTCACATGCTTACAATATTCCCTCCCACTTATCTGTCACATGCTTACAATATTCCCTCCCACTAATTTGTCACATGCTTACAATATTCCCTCCCACTTATCTGTCACATGCTTACAATATTCCCTCCCACTAATCTGTCACATGCTTACAATATTCCCTCCCACTTATCTGTCACATGCTTACAATATTCCCTCCTACTTATCTGTCACATGCTTATAATATTCCCTCCCACTAATCTGTCACATGCTTACAATATTCCCTCCCACTTTTCTGTCACATGCTTAAATATTTCCTCCCACTTATCTGTCACATGCTTACAATATTCCCTCCCACTTATCTGTCACATGCTTACAATAGTCCCTCCCACTGATCTGTCACAAAATGAAATGTCGGTTCAATTAGAATGAACAATAGAATTTAAATATTTTGTTGCAGGTGAAGCAGCCTGTGCTGTGTCCAAACAACCATGTTTTCTGCTCCACATGCATGGATGTCTGGCTGCAGAGAATCCAGCAGTGTCCTGCTTGCCGAACACCAGTTAATTCCAGTAACCCCATTAAACATATCAAAGGTGCAGTTGGTGTCAGAACATTTTCCATAACAAAATGATGACAATATTCAGTTCATCCACAAATAAATCATAAGTAGACCATGTAAACAAATACTGTTCACTCTCTTTTGTAACAGTGTTGCCTCAACATAGTTAGCTGCTGATGACAATGCTATTTATCATGCTTATTCATCTCTCATCTTTCTGCATGTTTCTATTGACATGTTGAGTGAGTGAGTGAATCTTGTTTGCACTTCAGTCAGTGATACTCCATTCAATATTTGGACCAGGCAGAGTGCTAAATTTCCAGTTGTCCCATGTCAGCTCTTGTGAAAAGTACAGGATGCTGGGGACCTATTCTGCCCTCAAAATTAGTGGAATTCCGATGTGGCTAGACATGTAGAGACAATACAGTGGTATGATGTCTACCACTTGTCAGTGATAGAGGTTATACAGTGGTATGATGTCTACCAGTTGTCAGTGATAGAGGTTATACAGTGGTATGATGTCTACCAGTTGTCAGTGGTAGAGAATACAGTGGTATGATGTCTACCAGTTGTCAGTGGTAGAGGTTATACAGTGGTGTGATGTCTACCAGTTGTCAGTGATAGAGGTTATACAGTGGTATGATGTCTACCACTTGTCAGTGATAAAGGTTATACAGTGGTGTGATGTCTACCATTTATCAGTGATAGAGGTTATACAGTGGTATGATGTCTACCAGTTGTCAGTGGTAGAGGTTATACAGTGGTATGATGTCTACCACTTGTCAGTGGTAGAGGTTATACAGTGGTATGATGTCTACCAGTTGTCAGTGATAGAGGTTATACAGTGGTATGATGTCTACCAGTTGTCAGTGGTAGAGAATACAGTGGTATGATGTCTACCAGTTGTCAGTGGTAGAGGTTATACAGTGGTGTGATGTCTACCAGTTGTCAGTGATAGAGGTTATACAGTGGTATGATGTCTACCACTTGTCAGTGATAAAGGTTATACAGTGGTGTGATGTCTACCATTTATCAGTGATAGAGGTTATACAGTGGTATGATGTCTACCAGTTGTCAGTGGTAGAGGTTATACAGTGGTATGATGTCTACCACTTGTCAGTGGTAGAGGTTATACAGTGGTATGATGTCTACCAGTTGTCAGTGATAGAGGTTATACAGTGGTGTGATGTCTACCATTTATCAGTGATAGAGGTTATACAGTGGTATGATGTCTACCAGTTGTCAGTGGTAGAGGTTATACAGTGGTATGATGTCTACCACTTGTCAGTGGTAGAGATAATACAGTGGTATGATGTCTACCAGTTGTCAGTGGTAGAGATAATACAGTGGTATGATGTCTACCAGTTGTCAGTGATAGAGGTTATACAGTGGTATGATGTCTACCAGTTGTCAGCGGTAGAGATAATTCAGTGGTATGATGTCTACCAGTTGTCAGTGGTAGAGGTTATACAGTGGTATGATGTCTACCAGTTGTCAGTGGTAGAGGTTATACAGTGGTGTGATGTCTACCAGTTGTCAGTGGTAGAGGTTATACAGTGGTATGATGTCTACCAGTTGTCAGTGGTAGAGGTTATACAGTGGTGTGATGTCCACCACTTGTCAGTGGTAGAGGTTATACAGTGGTATGATGTCTACCAGTTGTCAGTGGTAGCGGTTATACAGTGGTATGATGTCTACCAGTTATCAGTGATAGAGGTTATACAGTGGTATGATGTCTACCAGTTGTCAGTGGTAGAGGTTATACAGTGGTATGATGTCTACCACTTGTCAGTGGTAGAGATAATACAGTGGTATGATGTCTACCAGTTGTCAGTGGTAGAGGTTATACAGTGGTGCGATGTCTATCAGATGGTAGTGGTAGAGGTTATACAGTGGTGCGATGTCTATCAGATGGCAGTGGTAGAGGTTATACAGTGGTGCGATGTCTATCAGATGGCAGTGGTAGAGGTTATATAGTGGTGCTATGTCTACCAGTTGGCAGTGGTAGAGGTTATACAGTGGTATGATGTCTACCAGTCGTCAGTGGTAGAGGTTATACAGTTGTATGATGTCTACCAGTTGTCAGTGTTAGAGGTTATACAGTGGTATGATGTCTACCAGTTGTCAGTGGTAGAGATAATACAGTGGTGCGATGTCTACCAGTTGTCAGTGGTAGAGGTTATACAGTGGTGCGATGTCTACCAGTTGTCAGTGTTAGAGGTTATACAGTGGTATGATGTCTACCAGTTGTCAGTGGTAGAGGTTATACAGTGGTATGATGTCTACCAGTTGTCAGTGGTAGAGATAAGACAGTGAACTCTCCGCTCCTAGGATGTTTTGTGAGCTGGTGACGTATCCTCATGTCACTTCCACAGTGGCCATTAACTCTTTCAACACCATTTCCCGGTAGACCGTAGTCATGTCAAGATAGTTTATTATTTTATGAACCTACCTGTCATATCATTCATTTATTAAATCTATCACATTTCACAATGTCCGAAATATGTATTCCATTTGTTTTTTACTTATCCTGCATTACTCCCTAATGCATTCACTGCTTACCTTACGACAACAAGGACAGCGCAACAGCGTTGTGACCTTGATGACAACTAAGGTCACCTTCTTCACATCACTGCTTGTCGCTGTACAGCAAGGACGTGTCCCAGTTTTTGTCTACAATTCTAAAATTCAGGGACAGAGCTCCAGATAAGCTTTTGGTGTTGTGGGTATTTTACCCATGCATTTTAAAATCATTGGGTATCATTAATTCTATCTGCGTATTCAAATTTCTGTTACCCACTAGTTTTTACACATGTGGGTATTTAAGTTAAATATTTAAAAACACTATTCATCTAGTCCCTGCAAACTGGTGTCGTGTGGGTTCGAGAGCTCTATAGGACTAAAAAATACCACGATACTTCCACAAGAAAGTGTGATGGCAAATGATCATGATGTAACTGTCATCGTGGACTTTGGCAAGGTTGACGGAATGCCCGTTTATAATTTCAAAATAAGTTGCTGATTTGCTAATCGAATACGCAGGGTAACTTCACAATATTTTGATGATACGCACAAGTTTTATTTTTGTAGCATATCTGTAATGTTCGTTGCGTATTTGATACGCTTGGATTATATTTGACTGTGTATTTCTGCATTTCTGATGCGTATTTCACGCAGATATGCAGCTTATCTGGAGCTCTGCAGGGATGTGAAATCTCCGCAGAAAGTCACGTTTTTTTAAACAGTAGACCTCGGAAAAAATCATCTTCCGCGTAAAAATAAAATGGAAGTTTTAAAAAATACACTCTGAAAAATATGATCGAAAACCGGACAATTGATCAGAGCTTTCAGCAGTAGGTTTTTGGACATCATACGTTTTCTATCACAAATACTTGCACTTTAACGTGGGGTGTGGTGCCACACAGAAATTGTAAATACTCAGTCAGATGATGGCTTGTTTTTAAGATAAAGTTGTCTAGTTTTAGCCTATAAGTGAATGAGATGTTTTACAGTTGTTCATGTGACTAGCGAGAAAGCTATGAATGTTTCTTCAGTGTCCGAAAACCCATAACATGGGGATATATGTTGTATTAATGCCTTATGTTTGCAATGGAGTTTTGTTTTTTTCAACAAAAGGTAAGTAAGTTTTTTTGTCAATATGCTTCAACATGGGGAAAGGGTCAGACATTGCATGCTTGTGACAATTGCCCTTGTGTCTGGGGGATTGGGGTTGACGTTTATGGCAGTATTGATCCCAGACCTGGCGGGTAGCCGGGTGCGCGGAAGCTATGCCCAATTTTTTAAAAGTACTGATTTAACTTTGAAATTTTACTTCATCTGCCATCTTTGTTTATTTGACTTATTGACTTTTGCCATTGACTTATTACATTTCTTGGTGTGAATGTTGTCCAAACTGCACAAAATTGCTTAAAATGCAATCAAATGTTGGCCACCATTTTGAATTATGTTACAATTGTTTGCCAGCCAAATTGTTTACAATTCTCAGCCACGTATGTATGACATATTCTTGTGTTCTTAAATACCACTAGCTTTGGCGTTACAGTGAGTTGAGTATATATAAATTATTGTATACACTTTCAACTCGTTAAAAATATGTTTGCCTATAGATTATTATCAATTCTACGGCTTTCCTCCAGCCCTGCTTCATCAAAAATTCTTTATTTGCGTAACTTATGCTTGCGCGTTGTACTAATTGTCATGGAAAAAATCTTTAAAAGATTATCATCCATGTTGGTTGTCTTCCACGCCGATGTGCTTGCCAAACTATAATGTAAATAGCTTTGACATAACATTGAGTTGTGTATATAAAAATATTGTATACACTTTCAACTCATATTTTTGCTGATAGATGATTGTTCAATTCTATGGCATTCTTCCAGTACCGTTTCATCAACAATTCTTTAATTGCGTAACTTATGCTTGTGCGTTGTACTTATTGTTGTGGAAAAAAATCTCCCAAAGATCTTTATCCACGTTTTTCGGCATGCATGCAGATGTGCTCACCAAATTCTAAATGTAATTTTTGTGTAAATCTCTCTCCAACGAGTTTTACAATAGATAGGCAGGTTACTCACAAATATATTTTGCAGTAATCCTATCGTGAGACGAGAAGAATGTCACAATCGCTGAATAGCGAAGGACATGGTTTGGTCATTACCATGCAGCCGTTATCATCGGCAGGTAATATGACGCCCGTAACTGTTACTGCAGAAGTGCACCTCCACCGAAATCAACAATACCAGAGGCTTTTGTGAGTATCGTAACTGCTCCTAATTTTCAGTCGCCTTAGACATCCAGATCTGCGATGTCGGCGTCAGCGTCTTAATGATGGGGGTAGTGCAGGCGCAAGCCATGATCCAGTCAATACCAATGAACATTGTGTCCTAGTTACCTGTGCCAAGCAAAGCGCCTGACCACTATCCAAGCGGCTCTACAATGACATCAGCGTAAAATGTTACGCAGGCGATGCATGATCAGCTTAGCGCTGTTCCAACATATCTAGCGCAGCAGATG